CACCGTACGCCCCGCGGCCTTAAAAAAGGGTTAAGGATCTCTTTTTTTTTTATTCTTTTTTTTTTTTTTTTTTTTTTTGGCCCATTATAATTCTTTCATTAAGGTTATTTTTTACCCGCTCCCTTCATTGTTAAATTGTGACAATATAAGAAGTCAAAATAGCACAACTTAATAACTGTTATCAGATATCATTTAGCAAAATACTACAAAGTAACAAGACTGGTGGTGTGGTGGCTATAATGTTATGGCTGAAAAATTAAAGTATTTTGGGGTTTTTATTACCTCAATCTCTTGAGATTAAAACAATCATTTTTGAACACACACACACACACACACACACACACACACACACACATACACAGACGTCTTGAATACACAAAACTAACTTGCAAGTAATTTTTCAGCACAATATAGGAGCTTGTTTGAAGTCAATAATTCCTTAATACCTTGGCATTGATGAAAAAGTACTAGCTGGAAGTGAAATAATCAGTCCACGGAACAATAATAAGTTGAAATACCTTGTTCCATGGACAGACTATTTCAGTAATAACTAGTACTTTTTCATCAAAACACCTACCTCATGCTGAAAATTTACTTTGAAGTCAATTTTGTCTTATTCCAAATATATTTGCACTGAGAACTAGACCAAAAATAAAATATTATGTTTTTGCAGTCACGTGTTTCTGGAGTAAAATAAGGATTTTTACTTTAGATTCAAATTAAGTAAGGGATTTTCTTTAAGTGAACCATTTTTTAGATCCACTCAGATGCTTTTGAGTGGAATTAATATATGCAGTACAAATGCAGGATTTAGCCAACTACCTGAAATAACCCAGAAAAGCAAGTAAAGAAAAAAAGAGAGAGATCACGCACTGTAAAAAAAAGTCTATGATAAACAGTAATGTTGTGTGAGGAAACCCATAAAGAAAACATAAACTGTTGATTTGATGTGAAGTTCCTGTTGATAAATGAATCTGTGAAAATTGTAATTTGTACATTTTTACATTTGAACATTCATTGTTTTTATGTTCATTTTACGGGAAAACATTTGTCTTTTTTCCCACCTTTAAGCTAAAATGTTTGCTTTTGCAGCATCATTTTTAAAATGTAAAAAAAGAAAAACTTAGAAAAAAGCCAATACTGTAACCGTGAAAGAATAAAATGTTTTACTGGTAATTTTACGGTGGAATTCTGGGAGCCACGACTGTTAGAGTTACCGTATACCGTGAGATTTACGTTTTTTTTGTTTTTACAGTGCACATACCCCTCTCCTCCACTCACCTGCGGGACCACTTGGCCGATGGCCGTCCGAAGGGTCTCTTCCACAGCACGCCGTGCAGCTGCACCTTGGTGCTGATGTCCAGCGCTTCGGAGTCTGACTGCTCCATGGACGTCCAGGGTGACAGCAAAGAGTTTCTGGATGAAGATGAGAACATCCCCTCAACAGAATTCCCCTCACCCTGGGAGGTGGGGCCAAAAATAAAAAATAAATGTAGATATATATATCTATATATATATATAAAGTGTTGCACAGTCTGTCAATAACAATTAGTCCAACAACATTCGATTAGAAACAAAACACGCAGAGATCCTGCAGGCGCATCCAGCCTCAATACCAGGCAGGCGGAGGAGGAAGCAGGAGGCAAATCCCAATAACTCAGCAGGCTGGAATGATGCAGCTGCCAATACGCTCATCAGCTGGAGGCAGACAGACCCGCACCGCATCGTGAGCACATCAGGGAGGGAGGGAAGCTTTAGGAATGAGTTGCTAAATCTGAAGCCGGTCGATAGAGTCCGGCCAGTAAAAGCTGTTATTCAGATTACAGCACTCTCAGTTTACAGCTACCGGCAGGTACGACCTACTGGGTCTCTCTCTGTCTCTCCCTCTCATTTATAATTTGCTCCCTAGTTTCAGAAGCAGCGAATGATGAGGAGGACATCTGTTTGTGTGGCAGGACTTTCTAGTAAAAGGGACCGGAGAGTCTGACATGCAGCTTCAGTGTCATCAGTGTCAGATTAATTCCCAGCACATGTGTCTGAGTGGAAGGGCGGCGGATTATACAGATACTCACGGCTCGGCTTTAGCGTCCAGGACGGTGAGACGCATTAGCCGCGCGGAGAGCTTCCAGATGAAATGGCCTGGACGAACCGGACAGAGAGGAACAGTCTCAAAGTTATATAACTGACATGTTGACATTTTTTTTGTCATGTTAAAATTCAATTTAATGTCGTTTCCCGCGATTTTATGAATCAATGTCAACATTTCCAGGTCTGACTTCGAAGTCCTGTAATTTGACCTCTTACAAAATTGGATCCAGCATAAACTGCGGGTCAGGGCCATTGTAGGTAGAAAACAGAGGAGTACAAAATAAAATAATAGTAATAAGAATAAAATAATAACACTCAGAAACTTTGAGATTAAGCTTGAAATCTCAAAATTTGCTAGAATTTTTTTTTTTTTGAAAATTTTATTTTGAAAAGTAAAAAAGGTTAGACTTTTGGAAATTTTCAGTTTCAAAAGTTAAACATTTTTGAAACTCAGAAATTTCCCAATGTTTTTTTTTTCTAATTTTTGAGAATAATCTCAAATTTTCAGCTTTTTAGGCTCAGAAATTCCCAGTTTTGTTTATTTCCAGATAATTTTCAAACTTTTTGCAGTAAATTTAATTTTTTTTATTCTATCTACAAAGGCTCTAATACGTAGTCGTAAACAGTTTGTCCTTCAAAAGTCACTGAATTTCAGAGACAAATGTCTTGGCAGTATTATGCAAAATCAACTTTTTGCATTTTACATCATGTAGTGTTATTCCCTCATCAAACACATACCTTTAGCATTTCCTTAATTCTTTCCTGCACGTTTAAGAAATCCATTAATCTCCCCTGGCAACCCGTTGAGTTGGGCAAAATGCCTGTGTGGAAGAAGCTTTGAGAACTCCCCTACTCTGCTCCTTCAGACTAGCCAGCAGCAATTAGCAAACACCTATTAACACGTTGTTAAAGGGTTCATAGAGGAGTGATGCTGTGATAAAATTCCTGAAGGTGGAGTGTCAGAAAGAGCAGGAGTTCCTTAAAGAGGACCAGTTTCAAGGCGTTAAATTTCTAAGCCGAATTCTTTTAAGTCTTATTTGACGTATTCAGCAATTTTAGCAACTGAAGGTAACAGACTTACTTGATCATGCTATAAAATTAATTTATGTGGCTGGAAAACACAATGCTGCCCCTTTAAGGTAAATTTCAGAAAGATGTAGTCTTTAACTGTAGTCTGGAGGCACAAAATTCATACAAGAAAAGGAAAAAATAAGACAAGAAAATTCATATAGGAAAAAGTATTTATACACATTTTCGTTATACTCCATTGAGTGTGTGGAGTAAGGTCGCCGTGTGGAGCATACAAGTTACAGACGCGCTGCTGTGAGCGGGTACAGTGGCACATCAACACCATACACACAGATGAGCAACCCGCTCAGATTTTAATGGACTTTCAGTTTTATTGGGACTGGAGTCGGAGGCGAAGGTCACGGATCCGCATTCAGGAATCACATTACAAGTGTTACACTGTACACACCGTTTACAGGCTTCACCGCAGCAAAACGAAGCAATTTAACCCCAAATCCTCCGACACGTTAAAAGTTCTTCACAGACATTATACTCTATTCTCCTGAGCTGATGGTCCCTAAAGATGTTTTTTTTCCTTTTCTGTAAGACATGTTTGTCATTCGAGATGCCCTCCATCTGAACTCAACAATCACTTAAGACAAATATGTACAGAATGCTTTCATTTACAGTAAGTTTTACAGGGAGAAGAAACCGACAGATAGAAAGTGAAACCATAAATAAAGAAAAATCGACGTAACAAAAATGGTGGCCGTCTTTAAAGATCGGCCGTTGCATGTGATTTTTACGGGAATCCATGCACCGGAAAGGGAGCGGACGCAGGCGTCGAGGAGCAATTTAGCTTTCCGAAAGGTTTAAGAGCAACACTTGATAGATAAAGTGACACCTGAAACCCAGAGGTTTGCAAGCTGGTCCATCTGGGTTTTCCCCAATCGCAAGGTTGTCACGGCGACGACGCTGTTGTTGCCATCTTTTGCTACTGGTTTCTTTATTATGGCACTTGGAAAAAAAATCAGTTAGAGAAATTTACATTCTGTACAGGAATATATATAAAAAATTGATTTTCACAACCAAAAAAACAAAAAAATTAAAATAAATCACAAGCTCAACCAACACCAAATCTCACTGTATGACAGCCACCCGGTTTAAAAAAAATAAAAGACGATAAAACCGAAGCAGGAAAGTTAAACGAGCATGATAACGCTAATCTGTTTGGATCTAAACACATTGAGCTAAACGGGAAAATAAAAAAAAAATCTACGTGGTCTTAACTTAAGATTTCGGGTAGAGTGAAAGAATACGTATTGTGGCGACAGATAAAACATCGCCGTGTCCCTTGGTTGTCTCAGCTCTGATTCCCCTCGTTCCGGCCATTGATCAAGTCGTGGCGTCCCTGCAGCGACATCTGTCTGGTCCAGCAGCAAGACATTTAAAACTCGCAAAGTCTGACGTCTCGATTCCAGCGTCCTCCCCTCTGTACACGCGTCCAGAGTCCGGCCCCCCGGGGACCCCCGTTCCGTCGGTCTAATGGTGGTGGCCAACCGACAGCACCAGAGGGATGAGGCAGCCTAGCACCAGAGAGCCCACCTCCACTTTGCTCAGTCCCTTCCCGCCGTTGCCCCCGGCGGCGGAGTGGCTGTGGCCGCCGCCGCCAACCTCGGGGAGAACGTGAACGGTGGCCACGTAGAGGAAGGTGCCGGCGGAGAAGAGCATGGCCACCCCGGTGGCGTTGATGTCCGACAAGGCTTCTTTGCTGCTCTGTGAAGGGGGAAATAAAGAAACGAGAGAACGGTGTGAAACAGGAAGCTGAAGAATCCCATTTAAACTTTCTACAGCATGTGAATGTGGGCAGCCATTTTTTTATTTTTTTTTGCTGTTTAACTGAATTATTTTTAGCTTTAAAGAGATTAAAATGCAATGTTTACTGTTAATATAACTGAATAAAGAACATTTTACAAATACTTAAAGATGCGGTATATAACTTTTTTTTTTAAATATGCTTTTTAATATATTTTTAAAAACGATCATGTTGTGACAGCATAGGGAGACAGAAATAAAAATAAAAAAGCTCCTCTTCCTTCTCTCAGTGCTAACTAGAAACAGCCAATCAGAGACAGGGGGAGGGTCTTTGACCTGACAATCACTCATGTACTCACTGCTCTCCCTCTCTCTCTCCTACATTACAGATGCTTCACTATAACATAGCCTGTTGCAAATGCTAAGGCTACTTAGCATGGCCACCAATAATGGCAGATAAATAGTTTTCTGAGTTTCTGAGGATTTTCTGAAATGGCAGCCCAGGTGTCAACAGAAAGAAAACATTTCTATTTCCACTGCAAGTCAGGACTCGACCCAAATGGAAACCCGGCTGCAAACGTGGCTCACCTGACTGAGGCCTAAAAACGTGATCATGGCGAGAACGGGGGCTGCCAAGGCGAACACCAGGAGGTGTTTGCGGATGCGGTTCCTCTCGAGGCCGGCGTGCATCAGGAACGAGACCAAGCCGAAAGCCGCTGGAGCCTAAAGGTCAGAGGGCAGAGCAATGCAGGTCACTGCATAGTAAACCGATCTCAGAGCAGATTTCTTCTGTAGTCATTTCTGAGCACAAAAATGTCCGCATACTGACGAAACAAACAAACAAAAAAAAAAAGAGAAAGAAGGTAGAAACGTAGCGCTATAACGAAGCCTGTCACGTTAGCAAATCCTGCTGGACGATAAACTGCCCCCATAATTATTGCGATAAACGATAATATTGTTTTGAGACCATTTTCAACCAACATATTGATAATGACCATGCAACTTTGCTCTCTCAACTGGAAGATGTTTTAAACTTCCAAAGTAAACAAAACAACAAAAAATAAATAAATAAAATGAAAATAAAAGTCACACACAACAAAAACCAGAAATAAAATGGATTATGTAAACAAAACAGCTCATTTTAATTTATCATGTTTACAGATTATTGCGACAGGGTTATGTATAGCAAATAAATACACAATACAGATTTTAAAAAGTGTTTTTCTTTTTTTGTTTGTTTTTTTTACCTTATGTAGCATAATGGCTACAAAAACAATGAGCTGGACGCTGGTCTGAGACGTTGAGGCAGCCGCTCCTAACGCCACGCCGTCAGCTGGAAACAAGGGTCAACACAGCATCCGAGTCCATTTAGTCCATTCAAATCATCAAAACTAAAACAAGATTACTGGGAAAAGTAAAGAGTAAACAGTAAAGCTTCCCTTTATTAGCCTATGGGAAGTTCATAAGTAGTTCATGGATATGTTAATTCATCATTAAACACTTTATAAATCAGTAATAACTGTTTATTATGCATTAATTAAGGGTGAGAAGAAGACAGAATCCACCAGCGTTTTTCTACTAAACAACCTGTAAGTACAACAAGTATTTATAAGTTTTTATTACATGTTTAATTAATGCATAATAAACAATTGATAATGATTTATAAAGAGTTTATGACTGGATAAGATACAGATAAACTGTTTATTAGTCATCTATAAGGGGAGTCTTATTGAAAAGTGGTACCGAAGGGGAAATAATCACCCTCGAACATCTGCGTCTTTGACAGAAGATGAATCGTCGACTTACCTGCAGCATGGACTACAAGTCCCAGAGTAGTGGTGATTTTCGAGCTGTTGACTCTTCCCGACTCTGGATCTGAGATGGACAACAAAAATATATTTGCTTTTAGAAGACAAACTGGCACAAACGATCACCTCTGTACATTTTCATCAAACGTTAGCTGCTTTGACTGACGTCTCGTCTTGCTGACCTTCAGAGTTGTGAACGTGAGAGCTGCCTATCTGGTCCACCAGCAGCATGAAGACGAAGCCCAGAACCAGGGAGACGCCGATGCAGGCGTACAGCTGCTCGTGGTCGTGCTCGTGTTTCCCCGTTGTGTCCAGAGCCGCCACTGCTTCCACTTTGGCCTCCGACACTTCGGCCGCCCCGACCCGACTGTGGCTGTGGTGAGCGCCTACGGGAAGGAAACGCGGATGGACTGGTAAACGCCAAACGTACGCAAGCGATGAGGTCAAAACTGCACAAGAAGCACTTCGGATTATAATCAGCGAAAGTTAAGAGCGGGAGAAATGGAAGTAGAAATGTATTTCTACGTTGGTGTTTTGTTCTCTATAGCTCTATAGTCAGCTAAACTTTACTCTGTTTGAAAAAGACCTACACAAAGGTCAAAGTTCAACTAAAACCACTGCAAAAATATAGATTTTCTTTTTCTTTTAACAATAAACCTCAATGTATTTCATTTATTTAATGTGACATAGCAACAAAAAAGAGCACACAATAACAAAGTGGAAGGAAAATTATTCATATTTTTTTCAGAAACAAATTATAAACATAAATCTGAAAAGTGCGGAATGTAGAGTTGATACTTTAACGCGCCTTAGGGGGATTATGCCACATCTTTGCAAAAGTGAGATAAGACGGAGAGATGCGACTCTTGACTTTGACTGGGCCACCCTAAGACATTAATAAGCTCTAATGAACCTGTTCCACCGTAGCGTTTGCTGTGTCCATCGGGTTGCAAACCCTCTGGAAGCTGAACTGCCCCAATCGGTTCTCACACTGATCTGTCCGTTCATGCAATTATTATCAAAAATAATCGCATAATTTTTTAGTTTGTTTCTTCTTTTTTTTTATTTGCCAATTAAAATCACAGATTTTGTGGTACCAATTTATAAATATCTGCAAGAAAATTTGCAATTATGTACCATGTTAACTTATCAAGTAAAGGCAACAAACACTGCCACCTGCAGGTGGGAGTGAGCAGTCTCTTAAACCCGACGTTTCGGACCATTTTTGCGGAAAATCATGCATCAGCACAAAAAAATAAAATTAAATAAATAAAAAATTAAATGCGAGAATCTGTTGATTTTGCATGAATTTCTACCATCGCGGAATCACTGACATAACTTGGTGTTGGGAGTCTAGAGGGACACAAAAAACAAGAGTGTTGCAGGACTGTCCTGCAAATATCTGGTGTCTCTCTACAAGGAAAGTGGAAACTTCAACAATTCCTTTTTTTTTTTTTAGCACTTTCTCATAAGCCTGACTTCATTTTAAAACTTCCCGACTTTATCGCTGATATGCTTCTTGTTTCTATAATGTTATTTGTTCAAAGACTGAGAATAAGTTGGAGAAGATGCATTTTACTCAGTAGGTGATTTCTGAAGGCATGTGGACAAACAGGATTGTGTTTCCGAGTAAAAGGAAAGACGGGTAACAAATTCAACGCACTTTTTCTAGATATATTTTTATGTGTTATTTTCCTTCCACTTTGTGCTGCTTTGCCCTTTAACATACGTTGAATTATGTGCCATCATTATAAAGCGTGGAAATCATTCGAGGAGGATGAACACATTGCAAATCAAAGTCTAATGAAATAAAAAAAAAACTCTAAACTGAGACTCAAATTGATAAAGATGTCCGAAATCTGACATGTTTGGACACTAAAGGTTGTTTTTTATGTAGCCAGTCCATCAAAAAGCTCTGCATTAATTTCAAATAACTTTCTTGTTTTAACAGCTTCGGATTGAGGCGCTTTACTAGAAAAAATTTAGTTTTTTTCACTCTCAAAGCAGCAAATGTTTCTATAGAAAACTCCAAACTGCTTGTTTCGTTCCTTTAAAATAAAATCAAACACAAAACATCAAAGAACAAATAATGTGACCTGCTAATTAAACCACACCAAACATACTTTTGTTGTGGTTCTTAAAGCAAAAAGCCCTTTTTGGTTCTGACATAAATGATGCCGAGACGAAGTTCTACAGCAGAGACAGAGTAACGGTGTGAGGACAAACGTCCCGACTGCGTTTTTAATCTGGTTTCATAGATCACAGCCGTGGAGCCGGGGAAGCATCGACAGCTTTACCTCAACATTTTAAAGACGTAAATAGTTCTTATCGTGCCTGCTAAAGTATGCGTCAGGGTCATTTCTCCAAGTATATAATCTTAATATGTTAACAAAAAAAAAACACACACACACAAAAAAGACGGTAACACTTTATTTGAAGGGGGTTGAATAAGACTGTCATGACACTGTCATAAACACATGTCATGAACATGAATAAGCCTTCATGAATATTTATGACTGTTGTCATAAAACGTCATTTGGTAAATTATGACACTTTTAATACAAAGTTGACATTATTCAAAATGTCCTTGTTATGACGACTTGACATTAACCAAGAAATCATTACTGATATAAATTTGTTATAAAAGTATTACTGATTGCACTTTAAAAATTAGGTAACTTTATGTTATTAAAGGTAAAGTTTAAACAGTAATGTAAATATGTAATAAAAAAAGGGACAGCTGAGGCACACGACTCGCATGGTAGAATCTAATGTATCGCATAAAGTTCACACGAGTTTGTGGTTTTAACAAGTCAAAATAATGAGCGAAAGCTAAAGGAGTCTGAAAACTTCCCCAAAGCATTTTTACTTGCATTAAAAACCCAACTAATTTATTATGTTGGAGACTTTTAGACTCTCTACAATCTTAACGGTCAACAATGACAATAATGTAACCCTCTAAGTTCTTATCTGATCGCTAGGGTTTATTACAACTAAAACCAGCGATCAGCCCGAAACCTGGGAGTAGTGATGGACTCTGACCTGATGGTTCTGCTCTGCATCCCCAGAACCAGAACCAAACGAGGAGAAGCAGCATTCAGCTTCTATGCGCCACAAATTTGCAACAAACTTCCAGAAAACTGTAAAACAGCTGAAACTCTGACTTCCTTTAAATCTCGACTAAAACCCCACCTGTTTAGTTATATTTGAAACATAATCAATTACAAATTTAATGATGGCACTTGACTTAATGTAATGTTTTGATTGTTGATTCTATGTTGCATGACTCTGTGTTTTTGTGTTTATTATGATGTAAAGCACTTTGAAATGCCTTGCTGCTTAAATGTGCTATACAAATAAAATTTGATTGATTGATCTAGATACAAGTTCGTTAGAGTGAAGTAATGATTGTAAGCTGACACAAAGTCAGTTCTTGCATGAACACGTGTTGATGGGAGACCAACAGGGAGCACAGAAGCCACTGAGTTAGTATTTCAGGTGGTAACCAGATACTCTACCTTCAAGGATCTCTTCATAAAGTGCGTGGACTCCCTCGGGAATGATAACAGCTAGCGCTGTTCCACAAAGCAGCCCTGCTCCCAGCACGGTGATCAGCTTCAGTTTCTCCTGGGGGGAAAAAGAAAACACACACACAGTCACGAACAGAACCTCAGCACAAGACAAACACTATTCATTCAATCGATATAATGATACGAGTTTCTGAGGGGGGATCAATACTTTTGGAGCTGAACTTTTCCATTAAAGCTGAAAGAGGTCGTCGTTGTTTTGTTATAGATTTGTTCGAAACTTACCTCCGAGAAGTTGACAGCAAGAGGTATCGTCCCGGCCACGTAACATCCCACCAACATCGCAAGAGACAGCAGGCTAATTGAGCTAAAATCGTCCATGGCTGCACTTTCCCTTTTCAGCTAGCCTACTGCTAAACCATCAAAGTCAAACTTTTAGCACAGAACCTGAAGCTTTCACGGTTCACCACCATGCCCTGGATGTAGCCACTGCTCAAGACGGGTTGATAATTTAACAAGAGTCTACGAATAATGGTCTGTCAAACTCCAAAACAAACACAACTATCAGGAACACTGCAGCCTTTTTGGCCTCAATAGCGACGCTAATGCTAACTAGCTTCAGTTAATATCCGACTCACGGGCTTGACAAACAAAAAAAAAAACTAGAATGCTATCACGTCAGTCCTCCATTGTGCTGCTACAAGATGTATCTTTTCCAGTTTGGGTGTCTGGTCAAAAATTATATTGAAACTTCTCGAGGTGTCAAGCAGGAAACAACAAAAAATGCTAACAGAACAACCTCTTGTTTTAGTGCCTGTCAAGTACTTCCGGGTCACAACTCTACGGCGGAGGTTGCCACGTACCTGCGAGACTCGTTGGAGAAAAGAGGAAATTTAAAGCGATAAAATTTATTTAAAATGTTTTTTATGGTATCTTTACGTTTTTGAAAAAAATTACAAATAACTTAACGGTTTTAAAAATGTTATTTAACACATTCATAGTTAATTTATTAATATTTTCATTTAATTAATTTTACAATGAAATTTTTTTTTTATTATTTATTTAAAAAGCGTTTTAAATAGACTTGTGAATTCATAAGTCCTGGTCAATAGTTCATCTACATTCATGGGTGTGAATGTCTGGGGCTTCAAATAGTCATCTGAACCGTTCTTTCTCTAGTTTAAAACAGCACATTTTAAACTAGTTTTAATGCCAAAATCAGGCATTAAATTAGAATTTATTCAGAATGTTCTCTAATGCAAGCCCACTTTTGATACATTTCCATTGTTGCAGCTGCCAAAGCTGCCAAAAAAATCACGGCTATCTTCTGACAGGATAATTCTGGATATTTTCTCTTTCCTAGGCAGAACTTGTAGAATTCAGTACATTAGAGTTTTTCAAGAAACACATTGACAGCCCAATTTATCTCAATCTCAACCTACTGGAAGAGGCCTAAAGGCCAGGACCGTACCAGAAATTCAACTTCTTGTAGGTCACAAGATGTATGATTTCTCTACAATTTACATTTATCCAAATATTAGATTGTATGTGTTTGAGCTTGTATGTGTATTCTCGTTTTTGTAATTAAAAGAAGCTGCTGTGTGGTACTTAAATCTTGGAGAGAGAGAAAAAAAAAGAACAATTCAAGGACTTTATGAAAGTCCAAAATAACAGAACACCTGCGAAGACTGGATAGACATCCAACTGGAACTGTGTCAGATTTTGGATAAATATCTGTTTTTTTTGTGAAATCAAAACACATCCAAGTTTTATATGTGCCGAGAAACAAGTTCAACTGACCATAAAACATAAAATTTGCCAAAAATATTTTTCTATAAATGTCAGATTTTCATTCTTATTAAGCTCATCAAGTGCAAGACCATAGATGCCGTCAAAACGACCTCGTTTAAGGTGAGTAAGATGGCTAACTTTTAGGAACAAAATAAAAGCAAAAACAAACTCCAAACAATTAAACTTTATTTTGTGTTGTTTTTTAAAAAGCACGTTTATTAGTTCACCTGTCAGGGCAGAGCTTTCACAGAACACTAGCAAATCAAAGCAGTATGTACAATGTTCAACAACCTGGAGAGCAGGCAGTGAAATGCATCTGCCTTTTTCTCTAACAATGCCAAAACAAAAAACAAAGAAAAACAATAAAACCAAAGTTTTACCATGCTTGAGGTTTGTGCAAACTCTCTGCTCAAAAACTGGGACCTTATCATACAGACACTTACACTCGCACAGACACGCATACATACAAGGTAGCAGCTCCTTGCAGGTGGAATGGAGAGGAGTATGAGCACGTATTTACAGTCTGGACGACTGGAGGACAAACTGTAGCTAGCTGCAGTGAAAGCTCGGGGGTTTCATAGTCTTTTACTTCACCAGTCCAATCTTCTTGGCTTCTGTTTCATAAATGAGTAACCTCCACATTTTTACTATGAAGACTTCTGCTTCTTCGTCGAGAACCTGAAACGAAACGAGACCGCGGGAAGATTCAAGTAAAGCTTGAAGAGTCACCCAAACGAAACCAGTAGTCCTGCTGAGACACATTTCTAGATTTCTGCAACATTCAGAAATATTAAAGCGTTCATGCAGCAGGAAGGATTTCTTTTAAAAGGCTAAGTCACACCACTTTGTTAGCAGATAAATGATATCAGCTGTCAAAATATACACTGCTCAAAACAATAAAGGGAACACTCAAATAACACATCCTAAATCTGAATGAATGAAATATTCTCAATTAATCCTTTGTTCTGTACAAAGTTGAATGTGCTGACAACAAAATCACACAAAAATCATCAATGGAAATCAAATTTATTAACCAATGGAGGCCTGGATTTGGAGCCACACACAAAATTAAAGTGAAATGTTCCCTTTATTTTTTTGAGCAGTATATTTTGAAGAAGGGCTGGGCGATACGAACTTAAAATGTTATATTCTGTGGTACTTTTGCGGTAACAATAAAAGTGATATGTGTATTTTTTTGTGTGATTGTACGACTGCATAACACAGCAGTGATAGTCAAACAAACAAGTACTGATTTTGAGAAACATTTGTAACATATGACTTGTGTGGCAGCGATCATATAAAGGAGTCTGACTTGTTTCACTAAACTGCACACAGGAAATTGATTTAATCATTTTTAAATTAATTGATACAGCTTTATTAAACAAATTGTGGATAAAAATAGTTTTAGGGTTTTTTAAATGTCACTGATTAGAATTTACTGTAAC